TATGCAAGAATTATTCGAAGATGCAGCTCGAAGTCTGACTGAAATAAACAATCCCTACGGCCCAGACATAACAAACGAAGAAGTAACTATGGCCATTAAGCTAAAGATGGAAAATTACCGGGACCTGATGAGAAGCATGGTGAAATTTTAAAGCTATTAGAGGCACACCAAATCACAGCTCTTACGAAACTATTTAACAACATCTACGAGACTAGTTACTTACCAAGCTAGCAAATGTAAAGAACATAGATTAATTAGTTTGATGAACCATGTACTTACAGTACTCCTTACTATCATTCACTCGCGCATATACACCAAATTAGAAGAACACCTGAATGAAGTTCAATTTGGATTCAGAGCAGGACTCGGAACGAGGGAAGCACTTTTTAGTTTGCAAGTTCTACAAAGAGCCAAGGATGTCAACTAAAATGTGTATGCATGTTTCGTTAATTTCGAGAAGGCATTTGATAATGTCCCAAATGGAAAACTAATCCATATCCTAAAAATATCAGGACTCGATGGTAAGGATATAAGACTGATCCCAAATTTATATCTTCAACAAAAAGCAACAGTACGATTGGAAAATGAACTGCCCGAGATTTTCACAGTCGAAAAATGAGTTAAATTATGTTAATAATTTAACTAATTTTTCGACTGTGATCCTTCCGAAAACCTATTAGGGCCATCAATAATGCGAAGTGAAATAGAATATGCAGTTAGAACCACAAAGATGCATAAAGCAACAGGTCCAGATGAAATTAATATAGAAACAATAAAACTACTAGACGAGGAGAATATCGAAATCTTGGTAAGGCTGTTCAATAGAATTTATGATACTGGTTACATTCCGCGAGAATGGCTGCAGTCATCCTTTGTGATGATCCCAAAAACAGCTAATGCCACAAAATGCAATGAACACCACTTAATCAGTTTAATAAGTCACTTGTTGAAACTCTTCAATAGGATATTACACTCAAGAATGTACAGGATACTAGAAGAACTTAGCGGGTCAACACAATTCGGTTTTAAGGGAGGACTAGGAACAAGAGAGGCAATTTTATGTTTAAACACCTTAATACAAAACTGTTTAGATCAACGAAAAGATGTCTACCTCACCTTCATCGACTACGAGAAGGCACTTTACAATGTTAAACATGATATCATGATAGAACTACTACATAGGGCAGAAGGAGATCAGAATTATTCAGAATCTATACTGGAACCAAATGGTAAAGGTGAGGATTAATCAAGACCAATATACGGATGAATTTGAAATCCGGAAAGGTGTCCGCCAAGGCTGCATACTCTCTCCGATGCTTTTTAATTTATATGTTGAAAATATATTTGCGGAAGCATTAGAAGATACGGAATTAGGCATTAAGGTGAACGACATACCTATTAGCAATCTACGCTATGCGGACGACACAGTGATTATAACTGATAATTTGAAAGATCAGCAGTTATTACTTGATAGGGCGAATAGCATAGGTAAAAAATATGGCCTCAAAATCAACATTTTTAAAACGAAATATATGGTCATTAGCAGAAACTCTCCAGAAAACCCGATAATATGCATGGGTGACAATCGTATAAATCGCGTGAAAACTTTTAAATACCTTGGCACCACAATCAATGACCAATCGGATCCATAACACGAGATAAAAACTCGAATACAAATGGCAAGACAAGCTTTTGGCATGGAAACGTGGACTTTGAAAAAAACATCTATCAACAAACTTGAAGCATTTGAAATGTGGTCATTGAGAAGAATGATGCGCATACCTTGGGTGGATAGAGTTCGAAACGATGACGTCCTTAATAGAGCCGGAGTGGAAAGAGAACTCTTTGAATTAATTAAAAAACGCAAGATTGGTTACCTTGGGCACATATTGAGAGGAGCAAAATATGAAATACCACAGTTAATCCTACAAGGGAAGATCGAAGGTAGGAGAGGAGCCGGCCGCAAACAATTATCCTGGTTAAGAAATATTACAGAATGGACAGGAATATAAAATACAGGGGAGCTGTGTCACGCCGCCAAGAACAGAAATCTAGTAATGAGATAGTCGCCTACGCACTTTAGTGTATGGCATGTTAAGAAGAAGATACACCGTTAGAAAGACTGGAAAAATATGATGTTTGGGCTGCAATATTAAGGATACTTGGGATCACAGCTACGAAATAAAAACTCGTATTGAAAAAGCCAAAAGCACTTTTAACAGCCTCAGCAAGATTCTCTGCAACTTATCTTTAAATATCAATATATGCATAAGAATTCTTAGATGTTACGTTTTTAGTGATCTCCTCTATGAGGTAGAAAGCTGGAGCCTTACAGAAGATGCTACGAAACGATTAGAGGCATTTAAAATGTGGTGTCACCGACGTATGTTGAAGTTCTCATATATACATCACACAAGTAACATAACTATTTTCCAGGGGCTAAGAAAAGACAAAGAAATTAATAACACCATAAAAAACAGAAAATTGGCTTACCTCGGCCACATCATGCGTAATGATAAATACCGACTTCTATATTCTGACCTTCTACAGACCGACTGATTCTACAAGGCAAGATTGAAGGTAAGAGAGGCCCTGGACGTAGACGTATATCCTGGCTGGCCAATCTTGGCCAAGAAGAGGAAAAATATCGAGTGGTTTTAAATCATGAAACAGTGTAGGCCAGTCTGCTATGTTATGGGATACCATAACACACCATCGCACTAGAACTGTATCTTATAATGTTGAATCGTAGAAAAGTAGAAAACTACTAGAAACCTAGAAAAGTATTTACTTCATTTTTTAAAAACCACTAATAACGATCCGCATTTAAGTTTTCGGAAAAGAAAAGTCCAATGATTTGATATTTATAAACTCTACACGACACGTTTGTTTTAAATGAATGCTGGTCTAGAGTTTTTATTGTTACATGTGGTTTCCTTGTCTTTTGTTATAGAAACTGGATAATGATGATGCTTGTTTTCGCAAAGAATATTCAGTATGTTAAAATACAAAGGCATTACTTGCAACCCGCTTTATTGTTATTTTCTACTATGTTTAACGTATTTTCGCTAAATTTATTAAAGTCTTATGTAAAAATAATATGTTTGGAAAGATTTCCGCTGGTACAATTAAACCTAAAGCTAAGATTATTACTATTATAAGAATTAATATTAAACTCAACTGGCTTTCGGGTAAAACCGCATCGATTGTCACTGCCGAGTTTTCGACATCCACTCTGATATCTTCTTCAGGGCTTCCGAGGTCTATGTCTCCCGTGCCCTCAGACACTACTACACTAATCACCAATCAATGCATTACTACTTCTAGGAACAGCAAACGGTTTATTTATACCGTCGATGTAGACGTGGTTTGGGTGGTAGTTGGCGTGGGGGTTAGCGAGGGGATAAGTGCAGGGGTTGGCGCGAACATTTCTAACGAAATGATTTTGATTGGAGGGTAAGTGGACGAAAATAATTTTGTGACCTGTATGAAGATGGTGTTGACCTAGAGCTGAAATTGAGTCGAAATTCTGAACAGAAATGTTATGTTCATAAATCTTATTTTAAATTTTACGATTTGTTTGGCCTATATAAGATCGGGGGCATCCTGCACAAGAAATTTCATTGAACTCCGTGTTGTTAATTTGGAATCCTGTCTGACTGATCGAATATTTGGTTCAAGAATTGTGTCGATTTTGTCAGTGACATCTTTAATATAAGGAAGAAACGCTTTCAAATGATGAAGGGTCTAAGTCTTTATGTTGAAATTGAGTGGGAGATTGATGCCTGTGATTTATTGATTGATGAGTTGTTTTAAACTAGAGAGCTCTGCAGGTCGACTAGCATAATCGCAAAGGCGTATTGATCTGGAAGGCTATTAATAACTGAATTAATTTGTGAATGTGGATGATGAGAGTTGGCAGGCAAGTAACGAATTATATGGGTAGATTTTCGACAACAGAGTGATGAAAATATTGGTACCGGAAAACAAATTTCAAAATTAATGTCAAACAAAATGTCAGATTTAATTTTGAATTTTTGAAAAAGACTGTCACAAAATGAAAAAATTGCTAATATGTTTTGCTAGTTATTTTGTTCAGATGATTTTTTTATGTTACAAATGTTAATATTATTATTTGAAGAACTGCCTAAGTATAATTTCGTTGTTTAAAAAAAAGAAATAATATACAGTGTTCCATTAAGGTATTTTTCAGAAATTTTCTCCAACAAGTACAATGGACACTCGCAGTAAGTAGAACAAAAGTAAAAGACGCTGTCGAACAGGCAGCTAAACTAAAATGGAATTGGGCTGGACATAACGAATGTCTTAAGGATGGCCAATGGAATAAAGAAATCGGGAATTGGCGGCCATATGAAGCCAAAAGACCACGATAAAGACCTCAAATGTGCTGGAGCATTTAGATATATTAAAAGAACTATAGGACCAATGTGGAAATGTCTTACAAACAACAGAGATGAATGGCAAGAATTAAGAGAGGCCTATATTTGGCAATCTGAATAGAGAAAAGGGCTTAAAAAATATAATGTTATATGAACAGTTGCGAAATTGCAACAAAATGGAAACGGAAGATTACATGAATACAAGTGTGCACTGAATATATTATAAATAAATTGATCCAACGTAAATAAACTAACTGGTTCGAAATTGTTATTGATTTATGCTTAAAACCGATAAAATTGCGAAATTTTAGTTAAAAATAGGAAATTATATAGATATAAAATTAAAAAATTAATGATTTTTCAAAAATGATTTATGGTCTATATAAGTTCGTTTTTAAAAAATCAATTTAAACCCATATAGACAATTCTAGCACTAGACAAATAAAATGGAAAAATAATAATAAAGAATAGATCACATATGACTTTTTATATCATATATGATTTAGCATGGGTGATATTGGCACCAAGCATAAAAGAGTTGAGAAAACAAGAAACAAAATAAGTATATTATGGTGTTACGTAAGGTATAAATAGACTTACTTTTTATTTTAAAAACTTAATAAGCAAGAACACCGGAAACTTTTATTTGAATTCTATGCTCGGCAAAACAATACTAAAGTATATTACGGAGTAATATTTCGGAAAACCCTCAATTTTATTGTTCTTATACAAAAAATATAAATTCGAAAATTATTATCTACACGCACTTATCAAATGTACGCAGTTAGCTACATCAGTGTAGGCCGAGATATTAAATTGTGGGGGATTAAATTAAATAAGGTTATATTATAAGGAATTAGAAAATATATAATTCCACGAGGAAACTAAGTTCCTGTAGCTGGCTGTATACCATATATCACAAAAAATTTTGTTAAAATCCTTTAAAAAAGGTATATAAAAATGCCTCAAACGGGCTATCACAAACACATTGCAAAACGTTTTCAGATTAAACAATCCATCATCAGTGCAAACGGTTGTACATGCTAGTAGCCACCAAAATATATGGGTAAAAAACCCTTTAAATGTTATAAATTTGAAGTTGTTTTACATTATTAGTATTACTAATTTGTGATGGTTAAGTTACCGTTGGATAGGTAACATGGCAGCGTATGACTCTACATGAGTAAACATGACAGTTGTTATCAACAGGTCCTCGTAGACACTTAGTCTCAGGACCATTTTACTGGATAGCCCGTTTGAGGCATTTTTATATACCTTTTATAAAGGATTTTAACAGAAAATATATATTTTTTAATGAGAACCTTTAAATTTATCTGAAAGTAATGTTACTTTCAGCTACTTACAGCTTACTACAGCTATTACGAGCCTTTGCTTTTATTAAAAGATTCTTTTAGCGTTATTTATTCAGGACTAGCCTTTACCATGTCCATTACTCTTGTTAGCTGTAAATATACTTCCGTATTGTCTTTAGGAAGCGTCTTTGTCTATCGAGTTGCGCCCGTTCTACAGAAATCTTAAATAAAGAAGTTTTGACTAGATTTTCATGTGTCGTCGTTAAGAAATGTCCCCCTTTCATCCTTTTCATTTAAATTACTTTTATAACATTTCGGTAATGGGACACCCTCTATTTTTATTGACTGTGGTTAAGCCACCTAACTGTAGGGGTAGCACACATATCGGCTTTTCTTCCTATTTACTTCACTGACTATATAGAATTTACTCTAACTTGACATCGGGACGGGTGTCCCTAAAAAAAAAGAAAAAGTGTGTGTTCCGAACAGAGAGCCACCAGCCTGGGCTGATGACTCTCTGTTCAAAAAAAGTGTGTGCTCGTACACTCAGCCGCCGATTTGGCAAAATAAATTTTGTTGAGCCCATGTATGCCGCACATGACCTAGGTGCTCGGAATTCGCGATAGAATCAGCATTCGATCTGTCTGTGGGACATATGCCTGATGGCTGGTATAAATGGCCGAATGGGCCTTTTATACATTTTTGTTGGGTTTTTTAAGTTTTGGACGAAACAGCATATGACACTCGATGTTCGGTAGAAGCTGTGGTTTTGTTTAGCCAGTGAGCGGTTTTTTTTTGTTTTTTTTTATCTTAATTACTACTACTAAGCTAACTTGTGCTAAACTATAACTATACTTGTAACTATAAAGTGTGCATTCCCAAGTGTATATTGCTCTCACATACTCCGTGTAGGGTAAGTTCGGGAGAGACGGGCCACTTTTTTTCTCGCACAGATTACTTGAAAAATTGACTAGTGTATGATACGATTTTTGGGAAAGAATACTTAATATAGTTTTTCTACTCTCTTACTAGTAAATTGTATATTACCTACTATTTGGATGCTAATTAAATGCATCATAAAAGATACTGACACGTAATGACTAGCACGTAATAAAAAAACTTACGCTTCAGTTTTATAAAATGTGTAATATCACATAAGCCTCGTAAGTCAGTTGGTCGAGTTACCATGGAAACGAATTAAGAGACGTTATTTTGACAGATTAAAAATTATTAATCTGTCAGTGTAAATAGGTATATGTAGTGGTAATTTAATTTTTATTTTTATAAACGAAAATAATCGTAGAAAAAGTATAGTACACAACTTGAGTTGTAAGCTTATTACATGCTTGTAAAATTACTGCGCTCGCCGCTACGCGGCTTACGCGCAACTTTTTTACTCGCATGTAATAAGCTTCTTACATTTCTCGTTATGTAATATACTATTATATATTTATTGTGCAAAATAAAGAAACATGTAACTTGAGGAATATAAAAGTTATAGAAATTAACATAAATACTTCTTATTGGCCCATCTATACCAATACAAATAAGTACAGATGGGCCATTGCTATTGGTACAGTTGGGCAGTTTGAAACACATAAAATAATTATGTTAACTTATTTCTTTTTACTAGCAATTTTTCCATACGAATCACAAACATTTTCAAATTTTGTACAGTTGTCATGGCACCAGTGGTTGCAAATCAAACATTGAACCCAATCATCTTTTCTGGATGTTTTGCTGTAATCTTCACCACAACCAATGCACTCATTTTCATTAAATTTGTCTTCGTCTTCGCTGTCATCTAAAACTGGCACATCTGCATTCATAATCATCATCAGACGAATCTAACTCATACATTTTAAATTGACGCCTTTTGTTTTGCTGCTTTGGAACTGTCTTCTTTTTTAATTCTTGTTTCTTTATCTCATTTTCTTGAATTTTGTCTGCAGAATTAAGAATTTCCGTCACTCTTCTTGCTCGGCCCCTTACATTCTTTTTTGCGGCATCAATTTTGGGTACAGGCGATAACGTCCAATTCCAATTGTCCAATACTTTTCCAGGTGTTACACTTAAGTCTTCAACTTTAGACGTACTAGCTGCAGTTTCTTCATCGTTGTCTCAGTCTTCATCAGTCTTTTTCACCGTTGCTGAGATTGTCCACGCATTTCCTAACAACTCACCAAACTGGAAACGTGTAATTTTTTTTTTGTTGGGTTATTTCTGATATAGTTTTGACATCTCGAGTAAAAATTAGCCCTTAAAGATTTGAAAAAAGCTTGGTCCAACGCCTGCAGAAAATGCGTGGTATGACTATATAAGCACAACATTCTAATTTCGTTGTTTTCGGCGCATTCTAATACTTCCACTGCTGCTATATGGGACGTATGTCCATCTTATATCAACAAAACTTTGCCTTGAGGCTTTCGAGGAATAAATAGATTTTTTAGGCAATGTAAAAAAATATCTGCATTTACGTAGGCCTATTTTTCGGACATTACAAACATTGCTCCATGTGGCATTCCATCCGCGTATTCTTTTTTTCTATTTTTTCCTTTAAAAATGGAATACGGAGGTAAAATTACCTCAGCATTGCAGCAGCTTATCACAGAAATCGTTTCCCCTTTCTCTCCTGATGTAATAACAGGGACATTTTTGGATCCTTTAGACGCAAGTACATGTCCAGGCCTGTTATTTAACTGCAAACCCGTCTCGTCTACGTTGAAAATATACCCCGGCTTGCCTGAAGTATATGAAAATATACCTAAAAAAGACTGCAACTTGTCAAAACCAGCTTTATTGTTATTTCTATTGAATTTTTGACTTACATTAAATTTTTCTGCTAACTCAAACGCCACAGTTTGTACATGGTCACGATTGGGTGTAAACCATACTTTTGCAATTTCTTAATATGCAGCACTAATTTCATTTCGATCTCATCTCCAAGAGTTGAAGAAGGTCCAAGACGATTGTGTTTTTTAGATCATTATTTTTCATTATTCTCTGTATGTTACTTCGAGGTATGCCATAAGCTAATGCAGCTCGATTTAGTCCCATGCGATTTTCTCTGATAGCTGCAACCGCATTTTGTAGTGCTTCTTCGCTCCATTTACCTCTTTCAACAGTAGATTTCCGCTTATAATATGAAGGCATATTGTAACCTGTAACAATATAGAAATTAATTAATAATACTTATTATTAAAAAAAAATTAAATAATACAAACCCAATACTTATTATTAGTCCATCTATACCGATACACTGTGGCCCGTCTATTCCAAAGGTTCGGTAGAGACGGACCACGCCATCGGACACACAGTTTAAATTTTATAAGGTTATTTTAGGTTAGGTTCAGTTGTTTAATCTCAATATAAGAGTTGAATACATAAATAATAAAAAAAAACTTACCTTTTGTCAAAACTTACACAACTTCACCAAGGTAAAATTTCTTCAACAACATATAATTAAGTACAAAAATCTCCGCTGTTTATGCATACACGTCGCAATGGCCACGTTAACAAGGTCTGTCGTTGACTAAATGTTATAAATCAACGTTGTCGCACTGCACAATAAAAAGAGGATCTGCAATATGACGAATGGCCCGTCTATACCGATGGCCCATCTCTCCCGGATTTACCCTATATGTTTTTTTGGGTTTTTTTATTTTTTACTATATTTAAATTACTACTATGTGCGCGTGCGTTGGGATGTACATTCCCTGGTGTATATTGCCCTTACGTTGGTCTTATATACTATCGTTTTAGTCTCGTCAGACTATGACCAAACTGCTGCAGCTATCCAAACTCATACAACCAACCATCTCTTGATTGGTTGCAGCAGTTTTGTTCCCTATTTTGTTTTGATTGCTTTTCGGCAGATTTTGGAGCCACGAGTGTCTTCTCTGCCTGGTCCTCGCGCACTGTCTATTTTCCCCTGGACAATCAATTCCAGTAGATGATACTTATCCTGTCTCAATATGTGACCTAAATGTTCAAGCTTTTGGTGCTCACTGTCGAAAATACGTTGCTTTGACTCCTCTGTGACTATCTCATTTCTTCATTTTTATTCTTCTTTCCTATATACAGTTAATTGTTGTTTCGGCCATCTATGCACCGTTCTTGTGTTAATGTCGTAGTCTGTAAACTCTCTTAAAATTCTGTAGTTTCGAGGCCGTTGAAGATGTCATAGGATCTTTCAAATAGCCCATTTTTGGGCTATTTGAACATTTTTTCTATTGTTTTTGCATGTGTGTCTTCATGTGGCAGAAGCATATGTTAGTGAGGCTAGTATTATGCTGTTAGCCACTCTGATTTCTGTTTCGAAACGAAGTTTGCTCTTTCTGTCTATTAGCGAAAAGAGTTGACTTCTGGAGGCTTTTGCTTTTTATACTGCTTGCTTTACATGCTTT